AACACAGCCCAGAATTATTTTGTTTGGTTTGCTGATGTTATATTTACTATATTTTAGCTTATTTTCATTGTGGAAACAAAAATTCTGCTTTATCAAAAGTACTTGTACGATGTGCTGATGCAATTCACTGGGAGCTACATTAGGCTCTTTTGAAAATCTCAGCCTTCAACTCTCTTCCTCAGCACCTGTATATATTCAAAGATCAGGCCCATTATTATTCAAATTATATAGCTGAGATCCTCCATGTGCAAAGTGTTAACATTCTCACTATAAGAACTCTATATTTACAAATAGTTTATTTATACATTTAGTATATGTTACCGAGTTGGAGGGCTTGTGACCAGATAGAAATGATACAGAATGTATATGTGCACTACCATATATTCACATCATCCTTAAGAACAACCTGAAATATTATAGACCCTAAAATTTTTTCTCAGGGATTGGGACCCCATTGTTGTGGAGATTGTGTATATGGATAATGGAAAAATTGTGCCTGCCCATACTAGATTACAGTCTCAGTACATGAACCATAGTCTTTTGGAGCAATTGCTGCATGCTATTAGTTGTTGTAAATATTGATGAAAAGGTTTAGAATAGATGAGAAACCACAAATTTTGTTGCATCAAACCATAACGTAATGTGATGTGGCCTTTTTATTAGTTTCGATAACATTTGTATTGATATGGCATACCACCTGAAACTTTTGCAAAAGAAGAAAGGTTTTTTTTCTTTCGAATCTTCCACTCCTCGCCCAGTAGAAACATTATACAGTAAGAACATAAGAACAGCTAAACTGGGTCAGAGCAAAGGTTCATCTAGCCCAGGCGTGGGCAAAAGGGCCTCTGCAGCCCAGATCCGGCCCACCAAGCAAGTTGTTCCAGCCCAGAAGGGTACAAAGACTCCTCCCAAAACCCCCGCTCTGCAAGGAAGTGCTGCATGATCTTGGCAGGGCAGGAGGAGACTTTGCGCACCTCTCCTCCCCCGCCCCCAGGCCCTGCTCAGCTGGAGGTTGACTCTAAGGCTGTGTCTAGACTGGCCAGTTTTTCTGGAAAATCAGCCGCTTTTCCAGAAAATCTTGCCAGCTGTCTACACTGGCCGCTTGAATTTCCTCAAAAGCACTGACTTCCTACTGTAAGAAATCAGTGCTTCTTGCGGAAATACTATTCTGCTCCCGTTCAGGCAAAAGTCCCTTTTGCTCAAGGCTTTTGCACAAAAGGACCAGTGTACACAGCTCAGATTTGTTGTCCACAAAAAAGCCCCAATCGCGAAAATGGTGATCGGGGCTTTTTTGCGAAAAAGCGCGTCTAGATTGGCACGGACGCTTTTCCGCAAAAAGTGCTTTTGCGGAAAAGTGTCCATGCCAATCTAGACGCTCGGTTCCGAAAATGCTTTTAATGGAAAACTTTTCCATTGAAAGCATTTCTGGAAAATCATGCCAATCTAGATGCAGCCTAAGTGCAGTGCTCCCTTGCAGGGTGCAGAAAGGGAGTGAGAGACTTCCTGTGCTCCTCCTCCCCAGGCCCTGATTGACCTGAGGGAAGCAGGGGGGAGAGCACGTGCAGTCTCTTCCCACTGACAGGGGCATGGGTGACTAGAGGGAGCCTCCAGTTGTTTGGAATAGCTGACAGTTCTCTCTGGGGAGGGCAAAGACTTTGCATGCTCCCTCCCCACCCAGACTAATCAGGGTCTGTGGGAGGGGAAGAATGGAAGTGTCCTGGTCCTACCCTTTCTGCCTCAGGCCCTGCCCCTTCTAAAAATTTCTGAAGTGGCCCCTGGTCAAAAATTATTGCCCACTCCTGATCTAGCCCTTAGCCTTTCACCCTTTAAGCTGGAGTAGATCAAATTGAGGTGATGTTGATTTCAAGGAAAGGGAACAAATACTGGATTTTAGTTTTGGAGATGGGAATGTAATGGCCCAAAGATGAAGTAGTCTTTGTTTTGTGCTTGTCTAACACAGTATGAGCTATGGAGTATTATGAACACTAGTCCTTTACCAGGAAATACCAGTTCTGCCTGCTGTTGTGCAGTTGGAGGACAATCTTTTTGTTTTTCAGGTGGCAATGCAGGTAATGAGGATGTCATGGGCAATTAAAGAGGGCAATTCACGTGCTCCTTTACCAGGGAGCTGTCCTGATTGTCTTATAACTATTATGGTAGGATGGACTGCTAGCTCTGCTTGTTTTGGGGCTTTAGTTCTGAATCATATGTAGTTTCTTCCAACGTTGACAGTGGCAAATGGCACGTCCGTGCCTGTTGTCCTTAGGATTCAGAGATCACAGTTTCCATTCCCTGGATATCGTATCTAGTATATTTGCATCTCTCTTCAAAATTCCATCACTAATCTAAATTGCATCTTGGTTTTCTTTTCAGAAACTTGAGGTGGAGAGATTTCAAATACTGTTTCCAACCTGAAATACTAGGGATATCTTTCAGCCAGAAAGCTTGCTATCAAATACATAGGAATTCAGCCTCTTTCCTCACAACTACCTAGACTTTACAGAAATTCCCAAGTTGATTCTCTTCTTTTCAAAGGAACATTTTGAAGCATGTTTTTTTCCTGGCAGTGACGCTTTAAATTGGACAAAGGGAACTGTCTGCATCCCTAACCATGACCATTAGGCAGCTGATTAATATCGCCTCTTGTCTCCCTCCCTTTTGGATGGTTTCATGAGTCTATTGCATGTTCCTTTGTCTTATCTTTGAAGAGGATGGTGCATCCTCATGCCACCTCTTCTGGCAGAGTAGTGTCACCTCCTATCCACACAGACTCAGTCAGTCGAGGAAATAGGACCATTATTTCTTTGCTGATCACAGCCAAGAAATCATATTGCCATTCAAAAAAGCTACAGTATGTTACAACACTAGAAAATTATCCTCTAGTAGAAAAGACACTTTTAAATAGATTCACTTAAAAATTTCTATATAACTTATAATTATCCCAATTTTGTGATCGATTTGTGTATTTTTTCACTAAATATACAATGAAGAATTGTTTCAAATAATGAAGCTCTCTAAATGTACCCAAACGGGCAATGCCTAGTTACAATATAAATTGCTTCTATGACTGGTTTCTTACAGCTTCTAATGTGCACCATGATAGTTCTCAAGCTAGTTAAAGTACCCATTCCTCCTTTACACTCTAATTTGTTAGCACAAAAATGTATCTATATAGAAGTCACCCCTGCCTTTTTAAGAAGTGTAATTATATTCATTGAAACCTTGGTTCTAGTATGAGTATTTTTTTAAAACTGGGATATGGTTAAAACCTGATGGGAATTGATTTTCGTTGTTTGGTATTTGAAATGTCTCTTTCAAGAATGTGTTGAACTACATTTTTCAACTGTTGCTAATGTTGCTATGGATAATACAAAAAGCCACAAAGCATGGAGAGAGGCCCATCTTAGTCAAATGCACCCCAGTTTATTAGTGAAGATTTAGAGGAGGTAGAACATTTGCTGTATGAATGTAAAACATTATTTGGTTATCTCAGTAGCACTACTAAATAGATGATGATGATTCCAACTGAAGTCTACAGGACTGTCTATTTTATAATTCCAAGGAGTGTAGCAGTTATTCATAGGTATTGATATGTTTTTCTCTGATTTCTCCTTTGAAAGCAGTGTTGTGCAGCAAAGCAAACTAGCTTTCAGTTTAGATTTTTTCAGTTTGGTCTGCACTAAAGAGACCTCAGAAATAGCACATTTTTAATGTTAATGAGTGTAATGTTGGTGCACAGACACTTCTGCTAATTAGTTTCTAAGCTGAGTATGTCCCTTGTAATATCAGCAGGATCATAAAGATAACATAATGATTGATAGGTTGTATTTTACTGGTGTGACTATATTTTCTGTGTCTATATACAGAATAGTATTAGCTCTTCTTTTAGAACAGGAAAAAAGCTTTATCACAGGAAATGTCCAGTGTTGCATGCATTAGAATCTGCAAGATGACTGTGTACATTTTAAGAGTATACTATAAAATGCAATGTGCAAATTTATGAATATAAATAAGAATGTATTCTTGTATGTATGGTAGATGCACACATCTTCACAAAGTAAGAGGGCTTTGACCTTTCTAGTTTCTATAACTTTTCATCTTTGTCCATAAATGTTTAATTATAGTACATTTTTGTGTCCAATACCTATTCTTAATTTTAAACTCCGATTCTATATTACCTATTTAAAAACAGAGCTACTTTATTTCAACAGAAGTTCTATATCTTAATACTGCAATACTTTCTTGCTATATAATTTTTATTTTGTACAACAGCAGCCTTAGAAAATTGTTGAATGAAAGCAAAGTAACGTCTTTTATCTTTCATTGAAAAGTGGGTATTCTTTAGCCATAGGGATTCTTATATAATTTAATAACAGCTTTCAGAATTATGATACTTTGGCTTCCACTTGCTTCAGTTTCAGAGTGTATGTGTGTGAGAGAGAGTTTTCATTTCAGATAGTATCTCTAGGACTTTAAATATAGCTCCAATGCTTGTGAGTGTAAGGAAATTTGAAATGTGACATAGTGATACATTGGTGTATTTTTGAAATCATACATACTCAAAAGTAACAATCCATCTATTCATACAGCATTTTTTAGTTTTATGGTGCATACATACAGTAAACGTTAAATGTGTCTCATGTTAGCATAGTAAAATGTATTTTAAAGTGTCATGTTTGAATTGACTTTGTGCTTGCTTTGTTAGTTCTTTGGTCAAATACCACAAGAAAATATGCACATGAGAGTATTTTTCTCTATTGTGGAAGTAAAGGCTGCTACCTGAAGTGTAGATGATAGCATACACTGTGAGACATTAGTTGTAAATCAAACCAATGCTCCTTATGAAATGCTCTGATTTATGAATGCAAGATTTACTTTTCCAAACATGCTATAATTTATCTCCAGCATGGCAATGTTCTGAAAGAAAATGAAATGCATCCACACTATGCACTTGAGGTAAAGACCTTGATGTCGTATTAATCAATAACACTGTCTTCTAGGAAGATGGGAATATAATTCACCAAACACACTTGAAGCAGATGTCATTTGGCTAGCTGACAAAAAGACTAGACAATTGGGTAAGTATAACCTATTTTTTTGTTATTATAGAATGTTTGTTTTTCCTTATACATATAATTATCTCAGGATGGATTTTAGCTTCTTATAAATATTGACTTTAGATTATTGTTGCACATGTATAATTGATCTAAATGGTAACAAGTATTATCCAGGATCAAAGAAGTGCTAGCATACGATTTTATAAAAGCAGGAGACTGTCTCCAGAGATGTGAAATGCCAGTTGTTTTTCTCTTACTCATGTATAACAAGCAATTCTACTATCCAGTTTAGAGATATTCTTAATTCATTGCCTTATTCTGTTGGAGGACATTTTTGCAGTACAGTAGTTGACCCATCACATCTATCATGATGTGTCAAAGATCTATCAGGTCGATAGCTCTTTCTGAACTTTGCTGTTACAGAAAAACATAGTTGAGCATTATAGGAAGAAGTCTGACATTTTTGGATGAAAATCAATCTTGTTCTATTTGTTGTTTCTAAACTAAGACGTATTCTGTGATTACAGAAGCAATGGCAGTGGTAAGATGTTTGGGGAAACAAAATGAGGATGCTTAGATGAAACTTTGACAGATGTTGTCTTACTGTAACATAAGTAGTAGAAACAATGCTGGAAGAAATTTTCAAAGTTAAGAAAAACAAATTACTGACTTGTTGCTATTGTAAACTTGTAAAAACATATCCGTACAGTTACTTAAGTGTACCGAAATTAAACTTTAGTCAAGTGAGAAATTACTGTATAGGAAGTACATTTATGAAGAGAGCAATGTCAAAGGTTTAATGGATGAAGATGGCTGCTAAAAAGTTTTAAGGGTCTGTATGAATCTTTAGTATGAAAAGTTCTGTATGAAATTTAAACTGAAAAATTATTATTTTGCTGCAGACTGGCTGAAACCTTGTTTAAACTTACTTTCTTGTCCTCTAAATGAAGGTAACAATTAAGCAGCTTTTGGAGTAAGATCTCTGAGGCTACATCTACACTGCAGTGCTATTTAGGGATACTGGAGTATCACAAAATAGCTATCCCACATCTTCACAGCAAGCCCATTATTTTGGGCTCATTATTCCAACATCCTTATAAACCTCATTCTATGAGGAGTAAGGGATGTTTCAGAATAGCAGTTTATTTTGAAATCTGGCACTGTATAGAGAGCACCAAATGAAAAAATAAGTTATTTTGAAATAGCATCGAAATAAGATATGCAATTTGTGTAGCTCAAATTGCATATCTTATTTCAAGCTACGGTGTGTAGACACACCCTGAAACAATCAAAATGCAAGACACAGGTAAGGTCAGTCAGGAGTTGAGCTGTGTGGGTAAAGGGCTTTCTTTGGAAGCAAAATGCATAGAGCGGGGTATTCCTTGGGGTTGGATGAGAGAGAAGGACATGCAGCCAGAAACACCAAAGAAACAGACAGAGAAGGTAATGGACAGACATGGAAATACTTGAAGTTTGACCTGAAGAAAAAGTTAAAAGAGCTTTTAGATTAGAGTGCTGGCTGGTAAAAAGGGCTTGGAGTCTTGAATGAGGAAACTCTTTGTATTCCTACTATGTTTAGGGAAATAAGACATAGGATGTTCTTTGTAAATATGCACCATTGCATCATAGACACATCAGGTTCCATCATTCATTTTTCCTAATGGAAACAACCAGTGCTTAATTTGGAGTGAAAAACATGCTTGAAGCAATATTTTTATATTTATAACTGATGTAGCAAACCAAGAGGTGTCAGGATTATGAACTGCCAATGCCTAGAGGTGCTGATGCTCTGGAAATAACACATAAGCCTGAACGTTGACAAACTCCTTTTGTCAAAAGGCGTAACTTTACAGCGAAATAATTGTTTTCTGAGATTATAGATCTCTCCTGTATATGTGGGGATATAATGATGTTACTTGGCCCTCCTGTCTTAATTTTGGAGGAAAGTTCCTTCAGAATAAACTTGAATGCCATTATATAATTTAAATGAGCAAGCTTAAGGTAATTGCATACTTTGATATCATATATGATCTCCAGCACGAAATAAATAAGTGAAAAGATTCAGGCAGCGGCAGAATTCACAATTATTTTTAAACTGACATAGCTACAGCTGTATCAATGTGCTCCAAATTTTTAAAAGTCAATTTTAATGCAACATTTAAAGCTGCACATTTAAAAATATCACAAAAAGTTAAGCAATCAAGAAGTTGATACTGAAGTTTTCTACCTGGGTACCTGAAATAGGAACTTAAAACTGTGTGCGAACACATACGTAAAAATGACACAATATGCTTATGCTTGCTTTGCTGTTATGGTGGTGGTTGTTTTGTGGAGAGTTGGGTTCCGGGGTAGGGGCATTGAAAGGTTGTATCTACTGGCATCACTCACTGAAGACCTCTGCAAACCAAGGCACTTATCATCAGCAGCAATACATTAATGCTAAATTCGACATTTATTTACATCTGTTGACATTTGGCTATAGTAATTTTACTAGAACCTTTTCCCTCTTGCTTTCAGCTTTAAAAACAGACAGAAAATCACTTTTGGGATAGGGATGTAAGTGACTAGTTGAGTAGTTGACTATGCAATGCCTAGGTTTATCAGGTAGTTGAGTCACTACTCAACTACTCGCTTCTCCTCCCCCCTGTTCCCTCTGTATCAGAGGCAGCAAGGGGAGTTGCAGAAGCCAGTGCTTGGAGGAGCTGGCTTAAATGCTGGTTCCCCACAACACTATCTCTGTGGTAAAAGGGGGAGGGGCAGGGGACATAGAGATGCAGTGGTCTGGAACCCAACAGGAGCTGGGTCTGGGACCTACCCCAGCTGTGGCTCTGCATACCCAGCTCCTGCTACATGTAAACTGCAGAGCCTCAGTGGGGCCCCTTATTGACTAATCATGCAATCCATACAAATTGTATTAACTGCACAATTAGTCCCATACTTGCTCTTAACATCCTTACTTTGGAAAGATTGAACATTGCAGAAGACTAATATGGTTGAAAATAAGGATCATTTTAAATTGGAAGAAGGGGGGAAACAATGAAATGGGTCTTAGATTCTTAATTATACCACTTGTAACACTCTATAGTATATTCTCTGGTGTAATATTACTATAACACTTGTTTAAATCTGAAATTTCTGTCTTTAGAGTTTTTTATTATAGTCACTACAATAGGTCAACACAAATATTCAACAGAGATGATCATGTCAGCCACAAAATTATTACTTTATTTTGTTAACGATGTAGCAGGGCATGAAATGCATTATTAGAAAAGGGATGATTTTGTTTATGTTTTCAGCTGCTATTAGTTTCAGGTATGATAACATCAGTGTTCACCAAAATGCTTGTTATCTTTAGATTGAAATAATGTGATATGTAGTAAGTCTTAGGCCTTATTTTTCTAAAGCTAACAATAAGAAGTTAGAGAAAACAGACATTAGCTATTTCCAAGCCGACAACATTGGGATGGAGAAACTCATTCCAATGTAGACTCCATTAACACAGATTGCTGTCAGCCCATTAAACATTGTTATTATGATGTTTTAAACAAGCCTTTCTTTTTAAAAGCTACACTGGAAAACTAAAAGAATTAAAAACCACTGTCGTTTATAAAGAATATTTTCTGAGCTTCAGGAAACTGACCTCGTCTTTATTTTTACATTATTGTCATGCAGCAAAATCTCTACCTTTTTAAAACCATAACTTTTCAACTAAGAGCTTTGTTCCTAGCAAGAGTCAGATTCATTGTTCTAGTAATCAGATTTTACAAATGTCTGGGAATCTATTTGATTTTAGGTCACTATTTCTATTAAATAAAACTCAAAACACATATCCTCTTAGTATTCCTTTCAGTTCTGTAACCATATAATCTGCTGTTGGTTATATACATATACATAATATTAAGATACAAATTTTATTGTGTAACACGTTACATAGTAAAGCTGGAGTACCTAAAATATTCTATAAAGTATTTTTATTTTATTTTAGGTATGTGATTCTCAAAGTACAAAATCTCATGCTTTATAGTCCAATGAACAGTGAAGAACGCATTTAGATCGGGATTGGACAATAAAAAACTGGCAGCCCACAGAGTTAGTCCCTCGCAGGCCACCGCCTCTACATTTACTTGTGTCTCTGTAGATATTGGACGATCACAGCTCTTGCCATTCATAGCCAATGCTAGTGGTGGGAAGTGTTATGGACCGGTACATCACTTTCTGCCACTTGCATTAGCCACAAATGACAATTTGGAGCTAACAATTTGCCAGTATCCTCTGATACCAGCAGAGGTGCAGGTAAATGTGGAGGTGGGAGCCCACTAGGAACTAACTCTGTGGACCAGATCCAGCTGATTGGCCAGAATTTGTCTCCTCTGATCTAGATTATATGAATATGTAATCTGTAAGGCTTTATCTTTGCTCCCTTCCATTTTTCAATTATAAATTCTCCAGCTAATATACTTTCTGACCAAGAAATATCCTACTGTACCATAAATTCCCAGGATCCTTGTCTTTCAGTATCTTGACCAATACACATTCAACCTGCATGGTGGCCTGTGAGAAGCTGGATTTTGCAACCTCTGGTAAAACAGAGCGAGGCCAATTATAGTATCAAAATTCAATACAAAGAACATATTGCCTACCTCTTTTCCATGTAGACTCGAGTGCTTCTGCTCTTTTAACTGAGCGTGGAAGAGAGCCAGTCCCTCAAATAACCAGACTCTTCATAGGTGAAGACCAGCATTGCAGGACTGACCACAACGGGAGTGCAATTCTTAAAGTAATGATATTATGTGAGCTATTCAATGGTCAGGTGGGCAGCCACATTATGGTGTTTATTACAAGTCTTCATTAGCTTGATTTTCAAAGTAGTCCCCATATGTATGTCTATTAAGAATTTTATTTTGTGGTAAGAAGGATGTAGAATATGGTAATATTAGATCCATTTTGAAAATGAAGTACCACACTCTTCTGGCCAAGTATAGATGAAAATGTCATTCTGCCAGAGCAGCTGTTTATATTTC